GTTGCACTCTCTCTCAACCAATCAAATGTAAGCATCTTCTGGTTTAAACGTTCAGAMGTCAAAATGGCGGTCAAATGTTGTTGATCCAAAAAAGCAGAAACTATCGATAAAAATGGACGGAAAATCGCGAGAAAATCCAGCTGAAGAGGAAGAAGAAGGTAAGTACTGCTGTTAATGTTTGTTGTGTTGAAATTTGGGTGAAATTTGTGCCAGTTTTATAATTATTCTTGGTGAATATGACAGTGGTTGGAAACGACTTATTTTTATATTATGCCTTTATTTAGTCATTTAAAARCTTCTAAGTAAAGGAAAGGTTTAAAACTATGCCATAAAGCAATATTCATCCAGTTTTCTTTATAGTCATAATGGATTATTTATTGAAAAGTTTTCTTCTTCTCGTTATCCTCCTCGTTCTCTTAGATCGTTCTCCTTGTCCTTGTCCTCCTTGTCCTTCTCCTCCTTCATAGTCTATACTCTTGTATGTCTTCTTGTCTTCGCTTCATTACCTTCATACRAGAGTTAGAATACTCTAGTGAAATAAATTCTAGCTTTTAAATTCATAAAAGTTTAATATTTTTGATACGATACCGTAGCTAAAGCCATTAATTTATTTTACAGGGTTTATTGCTTTAGCTAATGAGTTTCTGGAGAAGTGCAACATAGGGACTAAAATCTCCAGGCTAACGGATTGTAAAGATGATTTTTTTGTTTCTGTCTACAAGGGTCTCATTGGTGACGACTTGAAAGGTACTCAAGTTAGGAAAACAAGTTCTTTACCTGTTTTTCCGTTTCCGATCACGTGTCATTCCCTTGAGTACCATTTCTTTGTTTAAAGGTTGTGCATGAGAAGGCACATGAATATGGATACAACTCAAACACAGAATCTTATTCTCTAGAGAATGACACATGGTCTGAAACCTTATGCCCAAAAAAGATAATTATCTAATACAATTCTAGCCTTAATTTTTCTYTCTCAGTGTAGCTTCAGTTGAGAAATGGTTTTTTATGAACACGCCATCGTCCTTGCTGTTGCCATCCTATTTAGGAAATAAGAAAGCATGAACAAGAGACCGTTTCCTCAAGGTTGCGTGTGCATCCAAATTTAAGGAATTTGACGGGCCACGATACCAGAACACGAGTACTGTATTATCATGCAAATGCTATGAAATTTTTTTTGTTAAGAATTCATAAAATCAATTATTCTCCTCTTAAATATAAAACTGTCTTCTCAATTTTACTGCATTTGCGTTTTTCAATTTTGTGGTCCGTCAAGTTGGACGTACGCACACAACTTTGAGAAAACGGYCTACCGTAATAAGTGTCTTGAAAACTGTTTTCATTCTGTAAATTTGCTTGCCTCATCATCTGGCATCTCTGTTCTTGCTCCTGAGTTTTCACAATC